GGGGGGGGGTCGGTAAGGTAATGCGCTTTGAGCCGCGGGGACTTACCGCGCGCGACTGTGCCGGCTGTGCCGGGTGCGAGCGGTGCGAGCCCTGGAGCTAAAGGGCGGCAAGGGCTTTACCAGGATGAGGTAGGGAGTGCTGATACCAAGACAAATAACACCGGCGGAAGCTTGTTGCTTCGGGTTGAGGCTCGCCGCTCGTCATCCGAAACTGCTCGCGGCGCAGCTCTGAGGGGCGGGGGGTGGGGCGGGGCGGAGGCCTCGCACTTGGCGCGCCGCCGCCGCAATCTGGTCCCTCGCAAGGGGGTCAGGGAGACTCACGCGCGGGACAGCGCCTCCCGATAGGGCGACTTCTCCGAGGTGCAGAACACCATGGGCGCGGCCGGGAACAGCTCCAGCTCCGAGAGGTCGCACTTCTCGGGCTCGGTGAACGTGTCCAGGATCTCCCGGTACCCCTCGTTGGTCTCCACCTGAAGGCACATTGTCGCGTCGTCGCGTGGCAAGAAGTATGTCGTTCGGGTATTCTTGCTCAAAAATACCTTACCTGGAAAGCGAACCTTTCGAATCGGACTTTCTTGATACCTTCTTTTGTCGTGAGGAACCCCGGACTATCTTCGGTGTTGATCTTGCTGTTGAATACGTCACTCGCCACATCATGTTCCGCAACAGCTTCCTGCGATCATTGAAATATCACATTTTATCAGGCTGATGATAGAAAGATGATAGAAGTCATAAGACTCAAAACTCGTACCAAAGAACATGAATATCTATGAATGATACAACTCACATGAGATGTGACTGGATGAAAAGTGAGTGTTAACTTAACCCTGTTTGAGTCTAAATTTTACCTGACTTGACCCCCTGTAAATTAATTGCCATTTGGATATGATCAAGGAGATGACTGGAATACGAAATGACTCCTTGAGTATTGAAGGAAAGTACTGAGTGTGTCCTACACGGTTACTCGAGTAGCGCCTCGGGCACTCGCGGATTCACCCCCACTCTTACCCTATGGTGACCGCCCGTTCGCGCCGCGTTACCAGGCGTTACTCACCAGGGAGACTCTGGTGGCTGAGCGGTGCCGGCTGCTACCACTACCCACTGCCCCCCCCCCCCTCCTTACAGCAGCGCCAGTGACCAACACGTAGGGTACTCTTCTGGTTGAACCGAAGGCAGTGCCTGACCTGGAACCACACGTGCTGGAAGGGAAGCTCCTGGACGCCGACCTTCATCTCGCTCTGCATGAGGTCTTGCACGGAGCGGATCGCCGTGCTCGGCGACTGGATGATCGCCACGATGGAGCCCGAGAAGGAAGTGAAGAGGAACAGGTTCGCGATGAACGTGGTGATGATGGTGATGCGTGCCGACACCATGATGGGCGTGCAGTAGAACCCTGTTGGCGATGGAGGGTGGGGCCGGTCAGCGCGCCTGCGGATGCCTGCGGCTGCGCGGGAGGGCAGCCCCGCAGCCCGCGGGCGCCCGGTGGTGGCAGCGGCGGCCTACCTTGCTGCGAGAGAGCGCCCACGATGAAGGTGACGCAGTCGCCCACCTCGATGTGGTCCGCGGGGTCGTCGCTCTGCTCGCTGCTGCGGTGGCTGCGCCACCACTGCGTCTGCACGACCAGCAGCAGCAGCGCCAGCAGGCTCACGGCCCCCGTGGCGCGCCACACCCCCGGCGAGAAGGGCAGCACGTACACGTTGGACACGGACGACTTGCTGGGCTGCCGGAACAGCACGGCCGTGCGCATGTCGAACGTCTCGGCCACCAGGTCGATGTGGGGCAGGCGGTCGGGCCTGATGAACACGGCCGTGGCCAGCATGTCGTGCTCGTGGCGCTGCATCTCGCCGATCATGCCGTCGAACACGCCGTGCCCGTCGTCCCAGCCGTAGTTGTCCCTCTTGTAGATCAGCATCCTGGGGCGCGTGTAGGAGAGAGCATGAGTGTCCCCGAGTGACTTTCATTTGAAAAAAAAGCTGAATCGCGATGGAAATACCCGCTATTCACCCAAAGTTTAGGCTGTAGGCCAGGTTTTGAGTGACCGGCCAGTTCATTTTAGGGTACAGGTCGTTCTTTCGCAGGTTGTTGTCCTCGATGTCGGTGTACTCCTCCGGGTACTTGATCTGGCAAAGAGAGTTTCACTAATGAGCTTCCGTTGCGTGGGCCTGGACGCCGCGTATTACGAGTGCCTCACGATGGTGGAGCCACGCAGCGTGGCACCCTGGAGGTCGGTGCGCCTCTCCCTGAGCAGGGCCTCCTCCTCGCCCCCCATCGTCCAGCGCCACTGCGGCACGCCCCCAGGATCGTCCGGGAGGTCCGCCACGGCCACGACGTACGCCTGCAGCGGGCGCGCCAGGCACGCGCGGAACACCTCTAGCGCCTCCACCTGCTGCACAAGTATCCCGCCAGCGTTCACGTGGCTGCCGGCCACGGCCATCCCGCCGGCAACTTGGTGCACCGGGACCTACCTGCCCCGTAGTCTGTATCCATAGGACGTGGCTGTCAACGAACATGCCTTTCCCATCCAAGATCTGGACGGCCGTTGCGGACAGTCGGTCCGACTGCGGCGCAAGCAGCCCTGACCTGGCGCGTGGGGGCATCGGTGGCCGCACCTCCAGGAAGGCCTCCTCCTTGGGGTCCACGGCGTCCTCGCGGTTCTGCGCTCCATAGCGGTAAACTGTCACGTTGTCCAGGTCGTCGAATTCGTCATCTCGTCGAAGGTCTACGTCGTCGGAGGCGGTGGTGGCTGCGGGGTTGGACCCCAGCGCGGCGTCCTCGAAAATGATCCACGTGTTGGCAATGTGGAACAGCCTTAACCGCGTTGCCTGTAAACCACGCCGCAGGTAAATGAGTATGCAGCGGCGAATGGAGCAGCCGACAGTCCGTCCGCCCACCGCGGCCGAGACCCGACCGCCAGAGTTATCCCGTCACAAAATAGCTTCCGCGAGCGGACAGCTGGCAATCAAGGAGTGTCAGTCCCCCAACAGGTAGCCGTCTATCCTGGGGCCGGCCTGTCGGCGAATTAACCCAAGACGGATCACTCTGAATACATCACAGCGACTGTCTGCTTGATGTAGAGCCGCAGCGCGGTGCCACTCGGCCGGACGGCGCCGGCCGCAGGGCAAGCAAGACGGACAGTAGTAGACGGACAGTCCGTGTCCCTGGGAGGAGGTCAGCGTTGGCAGCCTCACCAGGACGAGCAGGCGCTGCGCGCCGGGGCAGGCCGCGTCCACGATGATGGCGTTGGCGGTGTGGCCGAGCGCGGCGCGCACGTGCCGGGCGCGCGTGTGCTCGCGGCCGCGCAGCAGCTGGGCGGCCAGCCCCGCGGCGGAGAGCAGCCGCACCAGGGCCGCGTCCTCTGCGGCAGACACGGGTTATTGCAAGCTGGCGTGTCCCCCCCCCCTCCCCCAGCC